TTGTATGTCTAGTTCTTTCCCCAGCTTGGGAAGTTCTCAACTATTATTTTTTGTTAACTGCCTCTGCCTGCTTCTTCTGTTTTCTTTATGGTATACCATTATTCCTGTTGGCTCTCCCATCCAACTACTAACCAGACCTGACCCTGCTTAGCTTCTGAGATCAGACGAGATTGTTCAGGGTGGTATGGCTATAGACTCTTGTTGGCTCTCCTAAAGGAGTCTGATACCTCTTTCAAGATTTCTTCACTTTTAAAAAGTCATTTTAGGGGTGCCTTGGTGGCTCAGTCGGTTAAGCATCCTACTTTGGCTCAGGTCATGATCTCATGGTTCATGGGTTCAAGCTCCGCGTTGGGCTCTGTGTTGACAGCTAGCTCAGAGCCTAGAGCCTGCTTTGGATTCTGTGTCTCCCTCTCTCTCTGACCCTCCCCTGCTCACACTGTCTCTCTCTCTCTCTCAGAAAATAAACTTTTAAAAAACATTAAAAACAATAAAATAAAAAAATAAAAAGTCATTTTAAATATAAAAGTTCTCTTCTCCTCCATGTGAATCATTTCCAGATTCCTATCTTCCAGATCACATATTCTCTCTTCCATCTGATCTCTTGTATTTCCAGTGCTTTGTAATGCATTCTTCATCCCATTTATTGGGTTTTTCAGCTCCAGAATGTCTGTTTGGTTCTTTTTCAGAATTTCAGACTCCCTCAGTTCTGATGCTTTACCCTTGGTTCTACCACCTCCATGAAGTCCGATCTACTCACCCTCAGTCATACAGATGTGTGGGTTGCTCTGGCATCCTGGTGTGCTGTGCAGAGGAAGCCTTGTTGGGTTATGGGTGTCCTACTGGATATAAATTAAAGGAGAGAGATAAAGGGAACAACTCATGCCACCATAATCTTCCACTCTATTTCTTGAAACACAAAATGAATACAACTGAATGTCAGATCTTTCTAATTCTTTTCATCTGGTCTCTCAGAGCAGAGTGGGGACAAACTGGGTGGGGTGAGTAGAACAACCTAGGCTTTTTCTAGAACACGATTTTATGTTTATTTTATTGGAGAGTCACTGAAGCATTTGTTCACACTCTTTTTTTAAGTTGTTCTTTCATGTTTATTTATTTTGAGAGAGAGAAAGAGAGAGAAAGAAAGAGAGCAAGCGCAGGAAAGGGACAGAGAGAGGGAGAGAATCCCAAGCAGTCTCTATGCTTTCAGTGCAGAACATGATGTGGGGCTCAATCCCTTGAACCATGAGATTGTGACCTGAGCTGAAATCAATAGTCAGATGCTCAACCGACTGAGCTGCCCAGCTGCCCCAGCATTTGTTTGCTTTTAAGAATTCTCTGAAATATCTAAACAGGGATGTAGTTTAGAGAATTGAGGCTAAACTAGAACTTCTGGTAAGAGATTTCCTTGAAGTCTTAAAATTTGTGGCCAGATATTTGGGGCATATATTTTGGGACAGGTAAATTCTTAGATGTTAGCCTAAGTCTGTTTGTTCGTTCATTCATTCATTCACTCATTCATTCATTTGCTGAATCTGAGGACCCAGATTCCATTTTACATGCTGGGGAGATCATGGTGAAGGTGACACCTGTCTGTACTCTCCAGTTTCTACTGGTGAAACGGATCATTACAATATAATAATTATAGTAGTCTAAGTTTTTAAATAAAGACAGTATAATGAGAAAATACAAAAAGGGGATGATTAAGTCACTTGAGGGTGGTCCAAGAAGCCTTCCTAAAGGAGACTTAGAAAAGAGTGGGGTTTTTAGCAAGCAGATATGGATGAGATCTGGGAAAGGGCAGACACCATTAGCAAAAAACAAATTCAAGCAGAGGGAATAAAATGAGTGAAGAAATGGCTGTATAAGAGAGCCATGTAGGAAAGGACAGATTTCCATTATGTAGGAAAGGACAGATAAGAATATTTGGTGTGTAGCTGCTGGAGGGAAGGCAGGTTCCAGTGGGGGCTTGTATGGAATGCTGGAAATTTTTAGTTTTGTTCTACTGGACCATGAGGGGCTATTGAGGAATTCTGAGTTGAGATGTGATGTAGTCAGATTTAGGAACATTAAATAATATTTTTGTAGCAGTTTACAGTATGGTCAGAGGTAGACGAGAGATGAGTGTCATTTAGGAAACTCTTTTATTAGTCCAAGAAAGCAACAATCAAATAGGCTAATAGCTATGGGATTAGAGGGGAGGGATATGGATTCAATAAATATTTCAGAGGAGAAGCCCCAGAATTTGGTGTTGATTAAATGTGGGAGGGAATGGAGGACAAATAAAAGTGTAGAATGTCTTTTCAATGTATTAAGCTTTTACAGTGTGCCAGCACTTCACACAGATGACTTCATTAATTGCCATACCAGCTCACTGAGGTAGAGACTGTGATTATCCCATTTTAAAGATGCATTACCTGAGACTTAGAAGCTAAATCTTGCCCAAAATGAGTCAATAAATGGTGACCTAGGATTTAATTCCAGCAATCTGATCTGTGGCCTGACTCCCTAAATGTGACACTAAACTGCATTTCCCTGATGGCTCCTTTTTCAGTGATGGCAGATGCAGGAATGGGAATAACTTTGGGAGAGAAGGAAATGACTAAATGCCAGAACAGAGACCATTCTGGTTCCCATTTACCATAACGTATAACTATATAATTCATAAAACTAACTTATGCTGTTTTTTTGATTAGAAACAAAAGCTCAGCTGCTAAATGCCAGGCCACCCAAGCATTTTTATCGGCTTTAATTCCTTTTGCTAATTAAGTGAGAGTAGGTGAAGACACTGATTTAATTAGAAGGTGAAATTCAACATTTTAGCTTCTTTTATGATTATGAACGTAAGTAAGAAATTTGGATACAAATATGTCATTGACACAGAAGTTCAGCGTTGCCTGTCAGTGACCAATGCTCAGGGCCCCCATACTAAAAAACTGTCCTGTGCCTAAGCTTTAAGGTTCTGCATTCAAAGTCATGGGATTCTTAATTATTTTATCTTTAAATTTATGTTTTGGAAGTGAAGTCTGATGAGCCAAGGGAGCCTCAGTTCATATGCGGTTCCTCCAACTCCCTCTGACATAGATTCTCAGGCATCTGCTCCTGGCCCTCTGGCCCCTGCGTGGCCTGTGGCTCCATCTCCCTGTCCCTGTCCCATCATTGCTGCTGTTTTCTACCTGGTGTGGTAACTGGGTGTGTCAGCAGCCTGTGTTCTACCTTTACCCTCCCTCTGCCCCTCAGTGGTTTGTGGATGCAGACAAGGAAGGGACTAGGGTGCAGCATGTGCCCTCCGGGCATCATGGGGTGAGGCAAAAGAGAGACCATCCCTAACCAGGCTGGTGCGTTCAATGGGTGACTCAGTGGGGTCCTCTTGCCCACCTCCAATCCAGGTAACAAGTACATCATGTGGGCATGGAGGTTGCAGTCTCTTGAGGGTCTCCCGTCTACCATCACTTAGGACACTGGACTAGGGGAAGGGAGATTGACTTCCTCACCCCCTGCTGAGGCCCCACACTTTCATTTTGCACCAAGCACCTAAAAAATTATGTAGCTTGCCTTGTCTGTACAATCTCTTGCCTCTCTTTGTTATAACTGGAAAGACTGAACTTTGTTAAATATGAATTCAGCAGATGTGTAAGTGCCTGTCATAACCATAGGGCAAGACGACTGCCTTAGCAAGAGATGAAAATTAAGCCTGAGATGATAATGTCTTAAAATCTAGTTAAAAGATGTATATTTTGGGGCGCCGGGGTGTCTCAGTCAGTTGAGCGTCCGACTTCAGCTCAGGTCATGATCTCATGGTTCATGGGTTGAGCCCCATGTCAGGCTCTGTGCTGACAGCTAGCTCAGAGCCTGGAGCCTGCTTCAGATTCTGTGTCTCCCTCTCTCTCTGACCCTCCCCTGCTCATGCTGTCTCTCTCTCTCTCTCTCTCTCTCTCTCTTAGAAATAAGTAAAAACATTTTAAAAAGATGTATATTTTACTCATAATCAAGTCAAAAAGAGTAATAAGCAAATTAACAAGTTGGAGTCTTATTTTGACTTCTGTTGTGAATAATAATAATAAAAATAAAATGGTTCTAACCTCTTCACTGGAGACAGCAGTATAGGTGAAAGTTATATGAACTATAGGTTGCTAAATCAAATACAAGATGTGAAAATTAGATCTTTTTCTCAAACTCCAAATAAATTAAAATTTATTAAGAAGATCATGACTTCAGTGAAGTTAGAGAACTTGAACTGAAATATCATGATGAGTACCAGAAGTACTTAAAACATGCTGACAATGATCATGATAACTGATTCCATAGCGTCTAGAATAGCCTTTGGTTACTGTTTAGCTATGACATAAATAATATTCTCTTTAAAAAGCTGATTGCCATTTCCTAACTCCAAATCTCAGAGAATATTAGCATGCAACGTGTCACATTAGCTGCTTAAAAAATTATTACAAATATCTTAAACCTCTGAGTAACTGGGTTGTATTTTTATGACTTCTTGTTTTATAAGACTCACACTAATCAAGTTGGGTTGATATGGCTGCTGTACAGTTGGAAAAGGCCAATATGTTATGACCCCCTAGGAGCCTTCCTTCCATTTGGTGCCTCAGGGTGACCATCAGGGCCTGCATTCTTGGGATCTGTCTTGGTTTCACTGAGTGATGCCTTGGCAGTGATTATAGAAAATACCCAGTCCACAAACGAGGAGGTGACTGTACCCATCTTTCCTGAGACCTGAGGAACAATTCATGCTCAGGCCATAGCCCTGGCCTCTCACTCAGCCCAACTGCAAAGAGAACAGTGCTGCCTCCCTCTGCTTCCCAAACTTTCCGAATATCTCTTGAGAAGTCATGGGTTCAAAACTCTGCTCGCTGTCCATGTTATCCCGGGTGCTCTTGGGTGCAGACACCATGGTGGACACAGTGGGGTTCAACCTTGACTTCCACACCGCATGGCCTTGGTCCCAACATTGACCAGAGTGATGTAATTAGCTTATATTCTCTTAGGTGCCTCACTCCTGATGCAGAAGCCCGCCCAGATATTGTAGAAGTCAGCTCGATGATATCGGATGTCATGATGAAATATTTAGACAACTTATCCACATCCCAGCTGGCTTTGGAGAAGAAGCTGGATCGGGAACGGAAGCGCACCCAGAGGTACTTTATGGAGGCCAACCGGAATGCTGTCACATGTCACCGTGAGCTGGCTCTGTTATCTCATGTAAGTGCACATCTTTCAGTCTCTTCGTGGTGCCCTCTAACAAGGATGTCTGAAGTTGTTCAGGCTTTGTCTTAAAGGAAGGTGATCTTAAGTTAGGAAAATATTAATTGCTACATGCAGTGTTTCACTATTATATAATTACATATTTGCATCCCTTTCTAGATCTTATAATTAAAATAAGTCAGTATTAATGATTTTCCAAAGAAATACCCCTAATTAGAGGTATCTCTTAGCAATTCTTTAAGTTTATATAATGCTCTTTGTGTAGAAGGCAGTGAATGCATGTATTTTATTTCTTTAACAACCTGATTTGGGGACTATGGATGAAAAATTCTGAGAAGGAAATAACAATTGCCTTAAAATTTTGTCTTATGAGCCTAATTGCTTTCATTACTCTTTGTGGTGATCATAACATAGCCATGCTTCAAATGAGGATATATCCTTTTATCTTTCTTGCCAGTAACCCTTAAATTATTTTGATATTTAAGTTTATTTCTAAGCAAAGCTTGAAAAAGGGAAAAACTGCAGATGTCCACATGTGCAGGCGGCCATGCCAGTGATGCTCTTGCTGCTGTCTCACTTCCCCCTATGCTTTTGTTGGATCATGACCTGTGATCTGTCCTTCACTCATGCTCTGGGCTCCCCACAAGCAGGGATCTTGTAAGGGACCCTGCAACCTGGTAATTCTTCTTTCCTTTCCTCTTGGGCATGGGGCCCCAAGAAAAGAGGGTCATGACACCCATTCTTGGTCAGGTACTTGTTCATTAAATTCTTTTCCAGGACCCTAAAGACCTGTTCTGCCTCAGTTGATTTGAGAAGACACAACTGGGTTTCTTTTCTTTTCTTTTCTTTTCTTTTCTTTTCTTTTCTTTTCTGTTCTGTTCTGTTCTGTTCTTTCTTTTTTCCCCCAATTTCTTCAATAACAGAGTTTCCATCAAGCTACTTTCTATTAAAAGGAAAGCATTACTGTTTGGTGGGTTTGTCTTGACATACTTGGAATCTATTAGTTAAAGGTTCTTTTGGGGGGAAAACTCATTTTTATTGCCTTGCTGAGCCCAGCTGTAATTTCACAGAACAACCCATGGTGATTATCTAAGGCCTTGGTTTATGTTTAGGAGCAAATAACTTGGAGCCAAAGCTCTTGCTGAACACAGTGAAATCTTACATACAGGGAGTTAGAGCTCACTTTTCTTGTTATTTTACTACCTGACTTTGTAAAAAGTAGGCAACAATGAGAAACACACCATTCTATGGACATCACGTTGTATTCATAGTATAGTGTTCCCAGTAAACTAAAATGCAGGAGATTTGGCCATTTCTATATATCTTAGGGGCATTTGAGGCCTTCTGTTAAGTTCTGCACTGCAAAGCTACTTAGCCAATTTCCAGTTGGACATAAAAGAGTCAGTTTATGTTAGATTCGTGTAGCTGATGTAGGTGGAATTAGTTTAAAATCTAACAGCAGAAATCCTCTTATCTTTAGCAAAACACCTTGAGAATGACTGTTTTATTTATTTACTTTTACTTCTCAGCTTTTTTTTTTTTAACTCTTACTGTGGAAAATCATATGTTTACAGAAGTAGACAGCACCTTATGTAGACACCGTCCAGCTTCAAGCGTTTGCTGCTTTGAGCCAATCACATATTGTCTTTATGCCCCCCATGCACCCCCCCCCACTGCCCACTGCTTACAATCCCTAGGTTATTTTGAAACAAAACCAACACACCACATCATCTCATCCATCAATATTTCAGTACGTATTTGGAAGGCCATTTTAACTATAGAAATCTAGCCCTCAGGCCATAACCAGGTTAAACAAATGGAGAGATCTATAGTCTACAAGGGAGTTTTGAGGTTCTAGAGATTCCATACTCATTCATAAATAGGGGGAAAATATTACCTATTGCAGAAGGCACTAGGATTAAATAAGTTAATGTGTTTGCATGAGCCATGCAAATTAAAAAATGGCACAAAATTGTCAGATGGCACCAATTATGTAAAATGATCAGTGATCACATAAAAAGTTTGTGATGCAACTTGCTTATGTAGTACTAACTGATCCGTTAGTACTAAATCCGTTTTCATGCAGTTAATACATATTTATTGAGCACATGCTATGAGCCAGCTTCAGTGTCCTCATGGAACATTCAGTGTCACAGAGACCATGGAGAAGAGCTTTACTTATAGGCCAAAAACTTGTAGGTTTAAAAAAACCCATAAAATATCTTCTCCTTTTGCACTATTTGATATATACTGATAAGTTTTCATTTCTGGCTTAATCAAATGTTAACTGAAAGGAAAAATGCAGCTTTATTAAAGAGCAGAGAAGGAAATATGATTAAATTTCATCAAAAGACAGCATGTAGCTAATTGGCATTATCCCTGCTAAGTACCAATTATTATTTTTTTAAAAACTTATTTCTACACCAATACCGATGGGAAAATTACAGGTATCAAATTTTATGTCTCCTTTCTTCTTAAGTATTGTTATGGTATTACGATTGTTTCATTTCAAATATAGTGGAATGTCTCCCAGAGCAGTTAATGTCAGTAATACAATTACACAATCCAATGATAAGCAATAATCAAAGGAAGGAGAAATTAGTTGGTCTCATAGAACTTTCTGAGTTCTCAGCATTGATTAGGAGACCCATTGTGAATTGCTGGATTTTGCAAATTGGTGGGTAAGCAAACAATTGGTAAGAGACATGAAGGGCTCATATGTCATGGGGTACATGCTACTTACTTTTTCACATATTAGCTCATTCTTAATTATGGCAATTTTCATAATAGCCTAGTGAAGACAAGTATTAATGTACATTTCAAAAGGACAGAGAAGTCTTCACTAATAAAGTTCACCCCTGTGTACTGTGGTTCAGACCCTATGAAAGAGAAGCAAAACTTTCTTTTCGAATGACAAGCTTTCAGATTTTTACAGTTCGTAATAACAGGTTACAAGGAGAGCACAGAATCAAGAACGGTAAGAATCAAGCAGAGAAAAATGAGGTGTAACTTTTACTTAAATATGTAATAATAAAAGCTGTCATACTGCAGAGGGTACTGTGACATTGTTGTAGTCAAAATCATGGTTGGCATTTTGGCATTGCACACAGCGTGTTAAACACACAGAATAGCTGTGCTTTGAGCATTATCTTAGATCCCAGACGGAAAAATTGGTCGCAGACATTTCCAAGCAGCACCCTGCTTAGATCTTCACCAGCAAATGCCAAGGGTGAGTATTGAAATCCAGCCTGGAATAATCTGGATAATCAGGAGAAAACTTTAGTTTCACTCAGATTATTGGGATTTTGTGGATCCAGCTTTAGACTAAGGTTAACTTTGGTAAATGAAGTGTGTTTCTGTGGGTAAAAATGGGGCAGAGCAGAATGTGCCAGGGAGACCGAAGGGTGATCGTGAGAGAAGCATGTTCTTGAAGGGTAAGTTGTGCAGGGATTTACCACTCCTCTTCCAGTGATATTTGTCAGGTACTTTGATCTTCACCATCTCTGTTTTAAAGCTAAATTTTTTTTTTTTTTTACTAGTATAGAAAGTCTGGATAACTATTTTAGTATCCACAAACCTAACAGGGAACAATACAAAAAGAGAAAAATTGAAAATGCTTGCAGTTGATAATTAATAATAGAAGAACATGGGGCGCCTGGGTGGCTCAGTTGGTTAAGTGTCTGACTAGAGCTCAGGTCATGATCTCACCATTCGTGGGTTTGAGCCCTGTGTTGGTCTCTCTGCTGGCAGCTCAGAGCCTGGAGCCTGCTTTGGATTCTGTCTCGCCCTCTCTCTCTCTGCCCATTCCCTGCTTATGTTCTCAATCTCTTTCTCTCTCTCTCTCTCTCTCTCTCTCTCTCTCTCTTTCTACCCTCATGGGCCTTATACTTAAATGCCCTTATCAACTACATAACACCATAGTGTTATGGTGATCATGAAGCTTCTCTGAAGTTTCCAGTCTTTTCTGGCTGAACCTGCATTGCCCCCTCAAACCCTCTGCTCTACCCCCAAGGTTTACTCCGGCTAGAAAGGATATAAGGAAGAAAAACAAGGATTCTTGAACCTGCCGTCTCAGCTTTTATCCTCCCATCTGGCTCCTTTTTTGAGCTTCAGAAAGACTTCCAGTTCCCCATCCACACTGCCAGAAACTGCCCTTCCACCATGTCCTTCTCTTTCCCCAGGTGTTCTTCCTTTAGGTCCTTCCTTGGGTTTATAAGCTGCAACCTCATGGTCTGATGTCAATAGTATAAAGGCTCTGGGGAAAAAAGTATTCAGTATTTTCTAAGAAGGCAGAATACATTAGGATTTGTTTTACAACATAACCTCCACATCCATTTTCTGAAGACCTCCAAAACTATGTGTCTGATCTCAGCCTTTCCTGCATGACAGACCTAGATTTGGGGTCGGACATTGACCCTTATATCGAATAGGTACCTTATGCTGAGCAAGTCTCACAGTGAATGGAGTCTCTTTCTTTAATCCAGTCACATTCTTCACCTCATCATCTTAGCTGAAACCTGGACATCTTCAACTCTCTCTCCTTGAATCCTACCTCCATTTTATTAGCAATCTTTTACCAAATCTACTTTTGAAATGTCTGACGAATCCATCTTATCCTTGCTGTTCTCATTCTCATCATCTCACATTGTGTCATTACGATCCCCCACTTTCTTGCCTCTAGTCTCTTCCTCAACCCTAGTGTACCACCTAGGTACACTAGGTGTCTACAGGACGTCATCAGGAGAGCCGTTTTGTTTACCACAACGATGTTGACCACTACTGGTATTTAAGGGGATGCTAATGTTAAGTCATGTACAGAACGGTCCTACACACAGTGTATAAAGCAGAATGAGTAGGAGATACAGATGGAGAGATTTATGGCAAGGAATTATCTTATACAATTGTGGGTGCTGGCTAGGTAAGTCCATAATCCATAGGGTGGGCTGGTAGGAAGGGCAGGTTGAAACACTTGGGCATGGACTGAAAGTGCTGTCCAC